TTTTTTTTCGGAGGAACTCTCCGCAAGGAAAAGCAAGCACCAAAACAGGTATGACGGAAAATTCTCAGGACCCTCCTGGAAAATGAGACTTAGTTTAAATTTCAAAACAATCATGAGTAGCATAATTTAGCATAAATGTACCCCAAAGGAATATAAGTTGGTTTCAAAGTTTGCACGTTTAAGATAGGATTCAATTAGGAGTTTTCAGGACCCTCCTGGATAATGGGATGTAGCTTTAAAGTTTGTTTAGATAACAAGATATAGTGGGAGTCGTACCTTCAGTAGATATAACTTAGGTTAAAACTATCTTTTAACTAGAAGTTGTCAGGACCCACCTGGATAATGGGGAGTAGTTTAAGACCCTTTAGACAACAAATGTAGTGGGATTAATACCTTCAGAGGATATAACTTAGGTTCATAATTATTAGAAGTTGTCAGGACCTCCCTGGATAATAGGACTTAGCTTTCAAATTCTTATAATAGTTGGTAGAATAATTCAGTTTAACACTCACCCATGTGCCCAGCTACCAAACTGGGGCAGAAGTTTCTTTGCTTTTGTCTATTTTTGTTGCAGTTAGGAACCCACCTGGAGAACAAGGGAATACTTTTCAAGCTTCAGTAATCAGGAGCCCACCTGGAGAACAAGGGAATACTTTTCAAGCTTCAGCAGTCAGGCGCCCACCTGGAGAACAAGGGAAGTGCAATTCAAATTTTAGCTTTTAATTTTTCGTATTTGATAACATGCTGTACCCAGTTACCAAACTGGGGCAGAAAATTTTCTTTGTTTGTTTATTTTGTTGCAGTCAGGAGCCCACCTAGAGAACAAGGGAAGTGCAATTCAAATTTTAGCTTTTAATTTTTAATATTTGATAACATGCTGTACCCAGTTACCAAACTGGGGCAGAAGATTTTCTTTGTTTGTTTATTCTGTTGTCAGGAGCCCACCTGGAGAACAAGGGAATACTTTTCAAAGTTCAGCAATCAGGAGCCCACCTGGAAAACAAGGGAATACTTTTCAAGCTTCAGCAGTCAGGCACCCACCTGGAGAACAAGGGAAGTGCAATTCAAATTTTAGCTTTTAATTTTTAATATTGGCAGAATAGCCTAATACATACTTGTACTTGCTTCGTTTTGACATCCCGGTCCTTGTATTTCACATATTTTCATCCAGATACCTTAACTTATCAAAACAGATCTTTTAAATACCTCTGACCGTTGACCGAGCTTATCTGGCATTTATCAAGTTGAGCTGGACAAAGAGCGTAGGATACACGTACATTGCGAGCGTGGATGGGCAATTTTGATTAAAAAGAAAACTAAAAATCCAAAAAATAAATAAAAAATAAAAGAAAATGACAAAAAAGGACATTTTCAACCCGTCACCTCCTCTCTCCTTCTTCCACCCTTCATTGCTGCCGCCCTTCTCCATTACCGCTGCCACCTCTCCCTCGTCCCTCTCTTCCACCACCACCAGAATCTCATCCCTCCATAAATCATTGTCAAATGAGATGATTTTTTACTGTTTGGGGATTCAGTTAAGCAAAATTAAACACATCAAAATTCATTTGAAGTTAGACCTTGAATATGAGAAATTGAATTTCGTTGAAGTGTATGAGTTCGAGATCTGGAGTACTATTAAATTATTGAGCCAAAATTGTGATTATATTCTTATTTGGGTCATTGGACTGAAGTTGTTGAACACCTGTGATGTTTACTGATGAAATTAGCAGGAAAGCTCAAGATAGTAATGATTTAACTTTCAACCCAAAAATCATTACCACTAGAGAATCCATTCTCTGACAAAGAGTCCAAAAGATGAGAGATTTTTTAGATCGATTAAGACTAGGACTTGAGAAATTGGAAAAGAACGGACTCCAAAAAGATGAAAGATAATAGAGAGGGTCAGAGAAATGAAAAGTGCAAAAAAGAAAAAGGAGACTTCATCCGGCAAAACTGTCGGAGATGGTGACGGATATTTAGAAGAAGATGAATTGGGGTTTCCAGTTGAAATTTTTTGTATTGAGGTGTGAGATTTCATAAAAATTTGAAATAACCTGCTAGGAAGGGACCCACATTTTTATTTGTTAAAATCTAATTCAAAATAAAATTTCCAAATTTAAATCACTGCTTTGGAGAAAAAAGGGGATATATTTAGAATTTTAATAAAATATTAATGATGATGTGGTATTAAATTATATGACATGGATCTGACATGTCCTCTATGTAAGCACGAGTAAGTAACACGCGGTGTTGGAGGTGTTTAAAATTTACTTTTTATTAAGTTTAAGTGTCTGATTGAAACTTTGCGAAGTAGAGGGACCGGGATGTCAAAATCGAACAAGTAAAGGTATCTTTCAGGCTATTCTGCCTTTTTTTTTTTTTTTTGGGAAAACTTTGTAGAATCAGTTTGAATGGTTCTTGGAGAGTTTCTTTTTTCTTTTATACAATAAATTAAAGCATTCAATGTTTAGAATTCATCGATTTGACTAGTTTGAATATGTATTGCGTAGTAAACTAAAAAGGTAAAATGCATCATATCAAGAAAATCTTCACTCTTCAGAACAAAGAGTTATGTCTTCCATTGGACTCTTCCTTTCGTATCATTTTAGAAAACAAACTCCACAAAGTATAACCTTTCGTATCATTTTAGAAAACAAACTCCACAAAGTATAAGAGTGCATTTGGTAAAGTAAAATAACCCAAGAAGATAATTATGTATTTTGGGCAAAATTTACATAAGGTCATGGGTTCAATTCTCACTAGCATATATTTTTGGACTTATCTCCTAGCTCTAAGCCACTAAATACGCTATTCAGTTACACTATTTTCTTTCTCTTGCTACTTTGATACATGTCAGATCAAAAAAAATTCTTTTGTAGCTAGTGGGAATTGAACCCATGACCTTATGTAAATTTTGAACCCCCTTGACCACTAAACTATACTTTTGGATTTTGTTAAGGGTGTTCAAAACTTAATATATAGAGGTAAAAAACAGATTTTACCTTATATATATAGTTTTTCGGCAAAGGGTGTTCACCCCCCTCTAAATCCGCCCCTTCGCCCAAGATAAACAGAGAAAAACTTCAACTGCAAAATAACTATTTTCCTGAAATACTACATGCATCTATAGCATCCAGCAAGAAACATCCGAGTAAAGGACAAAACTAACACACATGTATTAAACACCCATGATTGTAAAAGGAATGCACGAAAGAAACTGAAGCGGAAATCTCACCTAAACTAACAGAAGCAAAGAGGCGAGAAAAACACTAACACCAACAACAGAGAAAATGCATGGAATTTGGAAGGCAAGACCATCAGTACACTGTACATCAGTGGATATTGTTCCGTTGCACCACCAAAAAACTTAATCTCATAAATTTGGTCGGTTTGTGACTTGCACACCTATTGTTATGAATCAGCCCAAACTATATATTGGACAGAGAAGAGTTATTGGGCCAAGAAGAAGCCAGAGGACTAGAAGGCTTTTAAAATGTTAAAATATCATGGTATAGCCAGTTTTCACACTGGTCAATGAAAAATAACCAGTGTTTATCAAGTCATTGACAAATAGCCACTATTTTGCTGCAACAGGGACCGGTCCAGTATAATATACGGGAATTCTGGTGCATTTGTGTACGAACTCCAGCATATTATGCTGGACCGGTATACTTTGCTAACTCCTGTAAAATTTGCGAGAGACTGGAGCACCAGTGCTCCAAACTCCAGTATATTATACTGGACAATTATACTTGCTGGAACTCCCGTAAAATTTACGGGAGTTCAAGCATACTTATGCTGGAACTCCCGTAAAATTTGCGGGCGTATTTTTCCGGATTTTGAACAGTGTTTTCGATCAGATTTAAAGTGGCTAAATTTCGATGACTTTTGAAACTTGGCTATTTTTCAACGACCAGTGGTAAATCTGGCTATTTTTGAATTTCTCCCGAAATTTTTGGGACATCTTCATTCTTAATTAGATGTATCAGCTCTGGAAATGAAAAACTTTTATTTGAAGGGCTTTACTCTAGAAAGATAGATAAATTCGAATCCAATGATTTCAAAAAATTGCATGTTCCTTGTAATAAATGTCTGAATGTGTCAATAATGTGAAGAAGTAGCTTTCACATTTGCATATTGCTAGTAAATTGAACAATATGACATATTTTTAGATATATTTAAAAAGGAAAGCACATAAGATCAAGAGGTCATGGGTTCACCCCAGAGAATCTCAACACGGATACTTGGGACCTTAGCATATCTGTAGGTGCATGTCACGGGTTCGAACCGTGTCATAGACAAAAGCCTAATATTTAAGTGGAGAAGGGTAGAGGGGCAGGCCTATTATCCACGAGTTTTGAACTGTGCGCCTTTGATCCTGAGGAATTTCTCGATTATTTAAATAAATAAATAAAAGAAAAAACAATAGCAACCTGAATTATACAACAGGGAGATTAGTGCAGATATGTTAAGCTTTCAAACTAGTACTAGATTCACAAACCTGAGCCAGTGTTGATAAGGGGTTAGTTTTCAACAAAATTATGGTACAAAATAATCATATTAAACACTGATAGTACCTTACAAACGGAGGTTCAAGATACAGAATTAGATGCATCAGGTACATCATCCAGGATATAAGGACCAAGTTTGCCTGTTCTAAACAGAGTGAGAAATTTTTTTGACACCATCGTGCGAGCCTCTGATGCCTTATAAGGTATCTTCAGAGCACTTTGCAATGCTTCAAATTGTTGATCTATCAAAGTCTCCAAGTTATCTTCATCGTCTAAACTACCATTAAATTCCGAGAGTGTGGTGTAAAGTGTGCGTTGGACTTCGCTGACCATATCCTATACACAAAATAGATTAGAATTTAATTTGATTTGATTTGATTTGTAATTTTACAATTAACAAATTGTATGAACTTGTAAATACTATATATTCAATAGGATTAACGAATAAGTCAAAATGTTAAGGTAAAAAGCTAATATCGTAATCTAACAAATGAATAAATCATAAAATTACCTCGATGTAGAAGATATCAGATTTGTTGGGCGGCTTCCTTCTTTTTGGTAGAAGATCCTTGAGATTATATTCAGGTTTGTCATCTAACTCATGATGAAGACCCTCAGATTCCCTGCCAATCAAGTGTCTCCAATGAAGAGGAGTTCGGCGAGTGTTTAGAACTGCTAACAAGTATTGAACAACTCGCTCCTCACCAACTACTGAATCTTTGATGGACCCTGAACAATTATACAGGAACGATAGGAGACTCAGCAAACTTGAATCTTAAAAAGAACGCTATAATTTCTCATGGCCGCCGATTCAATATGGTGCATTCTTGTCTCACTTATGGTGGGGTTATCATTTAACCTTTTACCATTCCCTACCATACTTTAGAGAGAAAAAGACAACTTCAGATTTAATAAAACAAATCGCCTAAGATAGACTAAACATCTTTGCTTTCAACAAAAGGAATGGGCTGGAGAACTTTGAAGACCAAGGGCTAGATTAACAAAATTACCAATTATCCCGTTCAGTTTTGCTGTGAGAATTGTCGTGTGTGCAGGGACATTTATATTATAGATAAGAAAAGAAATGAAGCAATGCCTATGACATTATACAAACAAACCCAATGCAGCTGGTTCAGGGCAAGTGTAAACACATTTATGTCTCGTGCAAAAGTTTCTATTCTACAACAACAACTATCCCCGTATAATCCCACAAGTGGGGTCTGTGTACGCAGACCTTACCCCTATCGTGAGGTGGAGAGGCAGTTTCCAATAGACCCTCTAGCAAATACAATTTGTTAGTCAGTGGCTTGAAGATTTGCCACCCCTTACCACACAAGTATCTTTAATCCCAAATGTAAACTAGAAAAAGGAATAAACCTGCTAGAGCCAGCTTTAACCCCGTTTCTATGTCTGGAATACTTGGAACCAGCACTCCTGGAGTGTCCAACACATATATGGTAGGTTGATGTGCAATCTGTAGAAGATGATGCATTAGCATCAGAAACAATAATATGCAACACCAGACAATTAAATTTAACATGCTGCCATGTACATATAAAAATAAAAAGATCATCTGAACTCGACAACTTAAAGCACTTAACTGATGGGAATTTTCTATAAGCTTTACTCTCATCATGGACTTCTTTTGGCAGTTAAAGGTATTTAAGTCCTTTCTCTCTTCTCATTGAGGTGAGATCAATTAAAATGTACAACTATCCCAGAGAAGGTAACAAATTGGCCGACTATCAGACAAGGGCATTGGCTGTCTGATGAGAAATAGACTTCCTCAGTCTGTTCTTAAGTTCTGATATGCTTGGAGACTCGGATGTGATTGGATCTTCTAGAAAGATGTCACTGTGCAATAAAAAATATGCATATTGTGAGCTGGACTGTGCAAATATCCTGGTTTCTCCTCAAAATGCAACAGGAATAGCTGCACACTTCTGCTCAGGCATTTAATGTATCAGAGAAGAGGCAATTGAACTCAATCTTCCAGAAGCTATAATCTTTTGGGCTTCACACTGCAGTACATGCATTTTACTTCTCTTAAAGTATCTATAAAACCTTATAAACTGGAAAATGAAACATTACAAGATATATCCAGTACAAATTTCTTCGTCTATAGTTCAACAGCATGGAGTGCAAAGAGTTTTAGCCATCACTGACCAACTAACAAAAGCATAATCTGACATCCAAGTTGTATAAATATTTCTTACCTTATATCCAGCAATATCTTGGGTAACACCAGGCAAAGGCCCCACTGTAGCTCTCTTCATCTTCTGCTGCACTAAGACAAAGGTCAAAACCATCAGTGCTTGAGGTAATCTACCAACATCCCAAAAGAACCAAGTAGTCCTCCAGACGCACAGAGCAGAATCACTAACAGCGCAAATGTCTTACCTGGAAATCGAGATAATGCTATTTGATGGATGGAATTGATTAAAGCTGATTTTCCGACATTAGGAACACCGACCACCATGACAAGAAGAGTAGGTTCCTTTGTAATAAGTTCCTTCGGTTTAAGCTCCACAAGATCGAGAAGCTTCGTCACAAATGATTGAGAACACTTTAGAAAATCTTGGAGTAGATATAACTGGAGGTAAGGCATGTCTGAAAACCTTACTACAAATTTAGCATCAGGAAAATATTTGGCTGGATTGCCAACAGTTTACGGCGCAACAACCATATTAAGGCAATAATGCCATTGATATCCTAAGAAGCAGCTTAACTAGTTATTTTTTGCTAGATTTTTACTGTGCAAAGCCTGCATGATAACAGTTAAATAAAGACTTCCTCTATATTTTCTAATGCTTCGTATATGTGTTACCATTGTCATGTACTTTTCAATCTTAACTGTTGCAGTCGGAAACTTTAAGGTTCCTGTGACAATAGAAAATTATTGTATCGAAGGAAGCAAGAATAGAGAATGACAAATTTGGAGGAAAAAAATATATACCTGGATAAAGGTTATTCCCTATCCCTTTTACATCTGGCTCACTAAAAATAAAATCTAAAGCACCTTTTACCCCAGTATTCCTTCATGAAATCTGGTCAATGTTGACTACGTTCTGTGGTTCTTGGCCTACTAAGGAATTCGTGGCTTTCTGGCATTATATAATTGGAAACTTGCTGTTACACAAGTTTTTTTTTTTTTTGGGGGGGTGGGGGGGGGGTGGGGGGGGGAAGGATTGAATAGTTCTAAAATTTGTAGATTCAAAGATCAGTTCAGGCATTTATATTATACTTGATAATTAAAGTTTTAGTTAATGAAGTCATTCTGAGAATACTAACAGAAGCATTGGTGGAGGTTGATCCCAGCATGTATTTGGTGGACAATTTGGTTGGAGAGAAATTCAAGATGCTTTGAAGATAGAGCTAACTCTGAACAGAAGATCAAGACGAATTGTATATTTTTGTTTCACTTTTGGTGTAAAGAAGCTCTGGTAGAGAATGTAGAGTCTATAGTGGATATTATTGGGTCTTTGTAACTACCACAAGTCCGGGTTTGCGTTTTTGCTCTTTTTCGAGGGTCTTGTAACTATCTTTAACCTTTAGCATAATCTTTATGCTAAAAGTTTTCTCTACTTAATTTATAAAACTTGTTACCTTCTCAAAAAAAAAGATACTAACAGAAAGCTCCAGAAGTACTTATTACAACTGATAACTGTGTTAGAATTTTTCCGCTCCATTTTTTTTTTTTTTTGGTCTCTAGAGCACGTTAGTGAATTAACGTGTTCAGCCACTGAAATGGCCAGAGGAAGGCCGGCGAAGAAGAAAAACAACAACGCAGCTGTGGTCATTGAAGCCATAGCTAAGAGGATCGGTGTAACGACTACGGGTAGTGAGGGTGAAGCTATAGAAGAAGTGACAGAATGGCCAAGTCTACCAAATCGAAGAAGTGGACCTAATGCGCCAGTTTCTGGAGTAATTCCGAGCGGATCTATGCAGATGAGCAACAACCAGGCAAAAGAAACTCCTCAATCCATGGTGCATGTACATGCATGTGAAATTCAGATTCAGCAGGAACTAATAAAACAGGGCGACGACAAGGAGAAGGACATGCAGCTGATAGAGGAGGAATCGCGAGCTAAAAGGCCGGAAAATAAGACATGGGCAAACCTAGTGGGAAATAATCGATTCGGAATGCGAGGTATGAATCTTAGTTTTGTAGCTCCAATTGTTCAAAATGGGGAAATAATTGTGGAATTAGCAAAAAATGAAGTAGAAAAGGAAACAGAGAAATGGAGGAATGCTTTGATTCTGTATGTGGTAGGTAACACACCTACGATTGGAGCTCTGGATAGGTTCATTGCTAGTCAGTGGAATTTTGTAGCTAAGCCAATGATATACTACCATAACGAGGGGTATTTTGTGATAAAATTCAATAATACGGAGGATAGAGATGCTATTCTGTATTCTGGACCTCACACAATTGGAAACAAGCCTATAATCACAAAAATCTGGACACCAGAGTTTAATTTCAAAGATGAAGTCCTAAAAACTATTCCACTCTGGGTCACTTTGCCTAATCTCCCATTGAATTGTTGGAGTGCAGACTCGTTGAGTAGAATTGGGAGTGGTTTAGGAGTCCCTTTGTACGCAGATGAATGCACGACTAAAATGGAGAGAATATCATATGCCCTGATTGAAATGGATGTAACAGTCCCATTACCGGAAACTATCAAGGTACAGGACCCTAATGGTAGGAAATTCAGTCAAAGAGTGGAGTATATATGGAAACTTGAGTATTGTGGCAAATGCTTGATGATTGGTCACTGTTGCAATGAGGCAAGGCAGCAGGAAAATGTCAAAGTAGGGAAGACAAACGTACAGAAGAAAGTATGGCAAGTAAAAGAGGCAGCAGGACAGAAGCAGGACAAAATGAAAGATAAGGAGAATTCAGCAAATGTTGAAAGTCAGATAATAGCAGAAAATAATGAAGAATGGAAGGCAGTAAAAGGGAAATCAGCAGCAAAGCCAATACATATACCAGATGATAGTAGAATGAGCATTACAAATGGGTTTAATGTGTTGGATAAGCAGATTGAAGCAGATCAGCAGCATGATAAAGGAAGAATAGTGGAAAGAGGGCAGTGTGGCAGTGGTGACAATTCAAGGGTGGTGCAGCATCTTTTCAAACAACAATGAAGGTAGTAGCATGGAATGTTAGGGGTCTAAATAAGACCTTTAAGCAAAAGGAGTTAAGAAGGTTTATTAGTACAAATAAAATTAGTATGATGGCTATTTTTGAACATAGAACAAATAAAGAAAAAGGGAAACAGATCATGGGAAAAATTGCAGCAGGGTGGAATTATACTACAAACTATGATGGGAATGGGAAAGGGAGAATATGGGTATTGTGGAATCCAAGAAACATTCAATTTACTGAGTTGGGGAATAGTAGTCAGATGATACATGGGAAGGTGAAAACTGATGCAGGCAGAATTCAATTCTATTTCACAGCAGTGTATGGGCTTCACATTATTGAGGATAGGAAAACTTTACGGCAGGAACTAGAAAGGTTCAAGCAGGGCGTGGATGGGGCTCGGATAGCAATGCGAGATTATAATGCAGTGCTGGGGATTGAAGATAGGAAGAGTGATAACCCAGTGCAAGAAGCAGAGATAAGGGATTTTAGGGAATTCATGCTTAATAATAACATGAATGAACTAAAATACATAGGAAGGGAGTTCACATGGACAAATAATCATGTGTGGAGTAAGATTGATAGAGCCATTGTTAATGCTGAGTGGATGACAACAATGAAGCAAATGGAAATAATAGTGATGGAACCATTCATATCTGATCACACACCACTATGTCTTCAACTGGAGGAAGCAAGAAAGGAGGGACCAAAGCCATATAAATTTTATAACTATGTAGCTGAAATGCCAAACTTTTTAAGAGTGGTGGAACAAGCATGGAAAACTACTAAAAAGGGGCAGGGAATGGAAAATGTGTGGCAGAAACTTAAAGCAGTAAAGCAGGAAATGAAGAAGATGCACACAGAAGAATTTAAAAATGTTCGAGAGACAGTTCAACTAACAAGGAGACAGCTTCAGGAGGTACAAGAACAAATACATGAGCCCAACTATCCAGCAGGAGCAGCTGAAATGGAGAAGACATTAAGAGGCAAATTGGAGAAATGGGTAATGATAGAAGAGAGTATAATGAGGCAGAAATCCAGATCAAAGTGGTTGGAACTGGGGGACTCAAATAGTGCTTATTTCTATGCATGTTTGAAAAACAGGACTGCTATGAACCATATCAACTATCTTGTTGATCAAGATGGAAAACTACTGCAGAATGATCAAGAGGTGCAACAGGAAATTGTAGGGTTCTACAGGAAATTACTAGGAGATGCTGCAGATCAGATGCCAGTGATCAATCCAACAGTAATGAAAAAAGGAGCAATTCTAACAAGAGAACAGCAGCTGAAGCTGATAGAACCAATCACCACAGAGGAGATATGTAATGCTGTGAACATAGATGATAATAAAGCCCCAGGTTGTGATGGCTTCAATGCTTGCTTCTTTAAGAAAGCATGGCCAGTGGTAGGTGAAGAGATAATCAAAGCAACAAAGCAATTCTTTGATACTGGGGAGATATACAAGCCTATAAACTGCACTGTTGTGACATTTATCTTAAAAGTTAAAAATCCTAGTTCAATCAAGGAATATAGGCCCATATCTTGTTGTACTGTCTTATACAAGATAATATCGAAGGTGATTACCACAAGACTGCAGGAGATTATGGAGAAGCTTATAGATATAAGCCAGGCTGCTTTTGTTCCAGGTAGAGTCATATCTGATAACATCATCCTAAGCCATGAATTGGTTAAGGGATATGGAAGGAAGGGTATTACTCCAAGGTGTATGATCAAGCTAGATATGCAAAAGGCATATGATTCTCTGGAATGGGGTTTCATGAAGCAGATATTGATAGCAATGAACTTCCCTGCCAGGTTTGTGGAATGGATCATGAACTGCCTTTCTACTGTGTCATATTCTATTCTGATTAATGGGAGTCCAAGCTGTCCTTTTCCAGCTAAGAAGGGACTTAGACAAGGGTATCCACTATCCCCTTACTTATTTGTCATAGCAATGGACTATCTCAGTAGGTTACTTAAAACACTGAAGAACCAGCCAGATTTTAACTACCATCCAAGATGTGAAAAACTACAGATTATACAGCTGGGATTTGCGGATGATCTATTGTTATTCTGCAGGGGTGATGAAGTATCTATACACATGTTATATAGCTGCTTTATGGAATTCTCAAAGGTGTCAGGGCTAACTGCAAACAAGAACAAGAGTTCCATATATTTTGGTGGTGTGAATTCAACAGTGCAACAAAAGGTTATAGAGGAACTGGAGTTTTCAAAAGGAGAGTTGCCTATAAGGTACCTAGGAGTCCCATTGAGCACAAAAAGGATGTCAATTATTCAGTTTCAGCCATTGCTAGACAGGATGCTAGATAGAATAACATCTTGGACTGCCAAATTTCTCTCATATGCTGGCAGAATGCAATTGATAAAAAGTGTGTTGCTATCCATTCAAATATACTGGTCTCAAATATTTGTGTTCCCTCAGAAGATAATTCATCTCATTGAGTCCATATGCAGGAAGTTCTTATGGTCTGGGGGTGTTGAGGTGACAAAAAAAGCTCTAGTGGCTTGGGATAAGCTATGTCAACCAAAGGTAAGTGGGGGCTGGAACCTACTAGATGTTAAATTGTGGAATAAGGCTACAATATGTAAGCTCCTATGGAATTTAGCCCAGAAGAAGGAAAAGCTTTGGGTAATATGGATTCATACTTATTATGGGAAAGGAAAGAATGTAAAGCACATAGAAGCTAAGCAAGCTTCATGGGTGATATTGAAGATCTTGAAGGCCAAACAATACATGCTTGATGCTGGGCAAACTTGGATGAGATGCTTGACAAGAAGAACATAACTGTCAGGTACATATACAGGATATTGAAGCAGGATCAACAAAAAGTGCCTTGGAGGAAGTTGATATGCAATAATGGAGGTATGCCAAAGTGGATCAATACTGGGAAAATTGGCGACAAGAGATAGGTTAGGAAGATGGGGAATAACAAATGATCTACTATGTCCTATGTGTAATAAAGAAGAGGAAAGCATGGAACACTTGTTTTTCAAGTGTACATACACAACAGCAATATGGGAGAAATTACTGCAGTGGATGAATATTAAAAGACAACCGATGGAATGGAGTCAAGAAATAGAATGGGCATGCATCAACACTCGAGGAAAATCAACAAATGCAGAGATCTACAGAATGACATTAGCAAGCTGTGTCTACTATATATGGCAGGAGAGGAATTACAGAATATTCAGATCGCAAATGAGACCAGCAGGAGTACTGATGAAGCAGATTATACAAATGGTGTGTGGAAGGGGATATACAATGTCAAGATTGAGAAGAAGATTAGAAGAGTTAAATTTCTACCCTTAAATGTAATTGTGAATTCTGAACTAGTAGGTAGAAAGCAGTAGAATAGGAGTAACTACCTCTGGGAAGATGTCCAGAATTAGTGGTTGTTATGTGCTGTAATTTCGTTTCTTGGTAATAAAATATGATAATTACCAAAAAAAAACTGTGCCAAAGTGCTCAAAGATAATAGTTGCTGCATCTTTGACATATAAAACAAATACAAAACAATGAAACAACAAGCTTCCAGCTAAACGGCATGGATAAAATGTCACTAACCTTTTGCACAGAACTTCTACTGTGTGCATTTATTGGGAGGCACTCTTGTTTACATGAATCAAAATACCGAATCCACCTCTGCATAGAATTAAAACAATAAGTTTCACTGTTACAGTTGTAAATGCCAATATTTAACCAGTCCTAATTTAAGTAAAATACCTTCAACTAGCACATTCTCCAAAGTTAAGGGGGAAAAGGAGAATGTCGGACTAGGGAAAAAGACATCATGCTATTTGTGTCACATGAAAGACAAAGCAATCCACCAAACACTCATCAATTGCGTTAGCGAAATTAACCTAGCATATATATCAAAAACAGCTTTGAGATTTAGTAGCATATAAAGAACACTGTTCCAACGAGTGAACAGTTTGGTGCATTTGCTTTGAGAAAATGTTTTTTATGGAAATTCATTCTGAAGAAAGGGTGTAAGATCCACATAGCTTGAAGTGAAAAGCTAGAAGAGAAGCACATTCTTTTTGAAATGAAGCGCACAATTTAAATATAAAAGATATCAAGCATATATGAATTTAGCACTATATTAATCAATCTCAATTAAAATGACTAATATCACCATCTAATATACATTAATGCTAATTTTAGTCCAACTCTTCAAAGTTGAGATTTAAAGAAACGACCGCTTCTCATTGGGATCACATTACACATCATTGTCTGAAGTGGACACTTCTCTGAAGTGCACTGCTTCACCCATGAAGTGATAACCTCTCGCTTCATATCGTTTTGTCGCTCTAAATGATGAAGCAATGGCTTTTAGGAACACTGCATCTACTAATACAAAAAGTAGAATGCAGGGGATGGGCACAATGATGGTACTTCAATAAACATCAGAGTATTGAAGGCTATGAACCATGTTTCCATATTGGTTGAAGCAAGTGAGCAGAGCAACAATTAAGATATCAATATTATCCTTTCCACTTAGGTACTCCTTAGATGGAATGAGTGGATACACTTCCAAAACACCACCAAAAAGAACCACTCAAACAAAACGTAAAAATGTAGAAAGAAAAATAGTTAAGATAGACAACAATAAAATCAAAATTGAACGTCATGGTTTATTCTTGAAGTGTTTCGGAGAAGGTGGAATGGGAGCCTTGGAGCAATGGTAAAGTTGTCTCGGTGAGACCTATAGGTCACGAGTTCGAGCCGTGGAATCAGCCATTGATGCTTACATCAGGGTAGGCTTCCTATATCACACCCCTTGGGGTGCGGCCCTCCCCTGGACTCTGCGTAAATTTTACGCAGGATGCTTCGTGCACTGGGCTGCTCTTTTTTTTTTTTTTTTTGGTTTCTCCGAACCTGCCAAGTGCCAACTTACCGGAAATAGAACACACAACCACTTATTATTATTCATTTTGTATCTGACATTGCTGAATAATATGTAACAAACTTACACGTGCAAATCCCGTTAAGAACCAGTATTTCATGACAAATGAACCTTCATTTTGCTTTCCCACTTAACAAAAGCACTTTAAATTATTCAACATGGAATAAGGGACAAGAAATATAGCATATAGGTTAATACTCCTCTACTTCTACTTAAATTAACCTACCGAGAAGCTTATAGGAAAGAGAATTGAAAAAGGATTAGCATTTCCACATAAACATGAGGAGACAAAGAGATACAAAAGAGAGAATAGGTACATGCATGATGTTGGGGTTGGCCAAATCTTTCTTATTGAGCGCAATCACCCGCCTTTTTTCAGAAAGCATAGGCTGCAAGTCGTCATTGGCTGAGGACAAAGGTATCTGCATAAACCACAACAGCAAGATCAGTTTGGTTTAAATTCTAACTTAAATACTCACCCAACTACGCTTCAATTCCAAACAATTTGAGGTCGACCGTATGAATCCTTTTCGCAACCATTCCGCTCTATCTTTTTTTGTTAAATAACCATTCCGCTCTTTTTCAATCCATTTCACTACAATACTAAACTAGTAATTATCTTTCAACTACTTGAGGTTGACTATATGAACCCTCTTTGTAATCATTCTACTCTTTTGGTCCAATTCATTACAATACTAAACTAATTATATTCAAAGCAAAGTTTTTTACATTTTTTTGTTTTTTGTATCTTTTGGGCAAATTACTTACCCTTTTCTCAAAAAATAATTTAAAAAAACATCTTTCGGGCAAATTAGGATTTCTCTAAAATTACTTCTAACTTTACCACTATTTTGTATTGAGTCTAGCTATCTACCTCTTTCTAAAGCTAAAATCCACATATTTTCTAGGGAAAGTGATTAACATAAAGTTGATTATTCAACAATGCTTATTCAATTTATCTCCCCATGGTGTGGGATAATAGTGGGTAGTTGTTGTTGTTGTTGTTGCTTATTCAATTTATCTGGCACACTTTCTTTTTTAGTCTATCCCAAAAAAGAAAACTTCCTACATTGAGAAATAATTTAACATTGAAACTAGTGTCTACGGAGGGTAGTATTTAAAATCAGCTTCAGTGTCAGCTAGTGTCTAGTAATCAAGCACAAAAATCAATTCTTTTTAGCTAAAATTCACATATTTTTCCAACAGAAAAAAAACGTGATTAGTATAGAATTGAATATTGAAACTTACGCGGGCGTCACGGACTTCAATGACAAGATCGGAGAGTTTGAGGCGGTGGCGAATGGCGCGAGTGGCAGCAGCCATATGGCCAGGGAACCAATTTATTTTTCCGCCACTTTTATTGAACCTCATTGCCCCTAACCATCCTTTCATCTTCACTGTGTGTGTGCGTGAGAGAGAGAGAGAGAGAGAGAGAGAGAGAGAGAGAGAGAGTGCTTAAACCCTGAACTAGGGGAACTGCAGAAATGTGATCTCTGTTTCAGTCTGTTTACAGGGGAAGTGCACAAATAGCCGATTTCAAAGTGACCTTTAAAACATAATCAACTTTTAAAAACTATTTAAGCTTTAGCCACTTTATAAGGGGTAGCCTACCGTGTTCCTGGTTCGGTTTGCATCGATTTTTCCCTAAAAAGAAACCAAATCAAGTAAGTTGGTTCTTCAAATATTGTAACCAAACCAAACCAATTAATTTGGTTTTCTATCAATTTGGTTTTGGTCAGTTTTTTGATTTTTTCGGTTATTTATCGGGTTTTTTCTTTAATATGAGACGTACGCTACCAAACGCATATTCCGGCGACTATATTTTCAATGTAACACTATCAAACTAATTGATCTTTGAGAAATCTATCATTTACCAAGATATATTGATGATAACTCAATCAAATAGTGATGAATAATTTAAGTACTTAATTAAATATTGATTATTTTTAACATGAAATAAATTCTTGTACTTAGCAAAAGAAAATTATCAATCAAACTAGAATGTAAAGGCAAACAATTAGATTATTATAATAGCAAAGAACTAAACTAAAAATACAAACGACTAATATGTACCATAAAATTTTAGAAACTTTATACAAAAATATACATATATATAGCTGTAATCATAAAGTTAATAGCTACTTTTATAGTCGGTTTGGTTCGGATTTTTCGGCTATTTTTTTATTAAAACCAAAACCAAACCAAATTTGATAAGTGTCGATTTTTTTGGTCGGTTTGGCTTAGTTTTTCGGGTTTTAATGAACACCCCTAGGGGTAGGTGCTTAAAAAACCGGATGCTATTTAGAGATTGATAAGTATTTATGTTTTCCTGAAATTATGAATTAAAAATCTTAATTTCAGGACAGTTGAGATTTTTTTTTCTCGAAAAATTGAACTGAAAAACTGAAATTCAGGATTTACTGGCCCTTTAGAGCAACTACCTTGTGTCATTTTTACACTTTTGTAAATAATTAATATTTGAACATAAATACCCTGAGGCTAATATGGATCATGTCCGAAATTAGGCTCGATTCTAAGTACTTATAGTAGTGAAAACTTCAAACGGTCTAAAGTAATGCTCAATTTGGCTCCTCTCAATTGCTTCAAAGTTTTATTGAGATAGGTGACACATGTTACATTTTAATATCAATTGTTTAGATTTAATTAACTAAACTTGAGTGAGAAAATGTCAAAAATAGTCCCTTATGTACACGAGGGTAGGTTCAAAGTTATCTTTTAAATATGCTTTGAACATATTTAGTTGTATCTTACGTATGAGGGTAGGTTCAAAGTGAATTCATTTAGATATGTTCTAAACAGTTTTGGTCTGTAAAAACTTACTTCCTCCGTTTTAATTTAGACGAGATAGTTTGATTCAGCATGCAGTTTAATAAAAAAGAAGAAGACTTTTGAAACTTGTGGTCTTAAAAATTTAAGGGGTAAAAGTGTGGGGCCGTGACATTTGTGTGGTTATAAAAACTTCTCATTAAAGATAAAATAGTTAAAATGAAGAGTTTAAAGTTGAATTATTTTCACATTTGAAAATGTATCATTTATTTTGGAGCAGACTAAAAAGGAAAGTACTGTATGGGTCAAAATTAGATCAGAGAAATTCGGCACGCGGAGACATAAGGCAGAGGTCGGACAGTCATCAATAAGGCCGAGGTCGGACAGGACAAGGTCGGACAAGCCGAGGTCGGACAGACCAAGATCGGATAGGCCGAGGTCGGACAAGCCGAGGTCGGGCAGTGATGAAACAACTAGTCTGCTTTGGAATCCTCAAAAGGAATATTCTACTGAATATTCCCTCTAATTGTACCCTTTCTTATAGGGTTTTTCTAGGAATACCCCTTATAAATAGGAAGAGAGGACTTCCCAAAAAGGGGGTCTCTCGGGCTCTTTCCCTCTCCCTCTCTCTAGAAAATATGTAAACGCACCTCCCTAAAAGAGATGGGAGGATCTGTGATCCCATATCTTCATCAGATCCAAATTAAAAAGGGTCCTAAGGTTCTTGTATTTGTCTATCGTTCATCTTTATGAAATGAAAGAAGATTCGTCTCACTCAAGATTGGGCGAATCTTTTCCTTTATTTACATTTTATTGCCACTTAATGTTACTTAATGCATCTTTCTTTATGCTATTAAATCTGGCCATAATCACTGCCAACATTTATACTCGGCTATGTTTTTCTATTCATATAATTCATTTCGGATCTAGAGTTAATTATCCTTAACTGGGATTTACCCCTTCATTCTCTTTGATTGATTTGTTTAAAAATGTTCTAATATCTTTTGAGTCAAACAATTTGGCACCGTCTGTGGGAATTTTCTAGTTAAAATTTTAGTTTCCTCTAGATCAAGAATTACATGGTCCTTTTGGTAAAAAAGTCTCGGGTTACGGTCTTAAAAGGAGACTTGCAAGAGTCTTTTGGTAAAAATCTCTCTTAAAAGAGAATAATGACTCACCACTGACCAATGGAATGATTTTATTTTTTATCAACTATGTTCCTCTTCTGCTTGCTAATATTGAATTAAGAATTAGGTAAATCACTAAATCCTACAATCTACGACCGTAAGTTGCTTGCTCAAATAGGCGGCACTAGTTGTCATGAGTTGTGCAACATCTGGTATACACAAATATGGATTGTACAACTATTTATACCTATCTTTTAATTTGATATAGAATAACAAACTGATGAGGTTAGACATTGTCGAAAGTAGAGTTTTGATTGAGTGGCTTATAATACTTGGCTTCCCTGTTAACATCTATACATATATTTCTCAAAAAAACTACTCATGGAATACTCGACACGTACTAATATATATAGATTGGCTACAACAAACCAGACCCCAGGCTTGAACATAATCACTGAATATGTCATGGGAATTATACTACCGGGAAGACCAATAGCAAATGTGTGCTTCAAAGTCTATGGGTATGTGACGACCCGACCCGTCGTCTCATGTGTTACTGCTTCGTTTCTCCCATGTTATGCTTCTTTATGTTTCGTTATCGGTATGTGGTGTGTTAGAGTTGATTTGGATTGGTTTTGATAAGAAATGAGACACTTAGTCTCTTTAAGGAAGGCCTAAGTTGGAAAAGTCAACCGGACGTTGACTTATGAGTTAGAAGGCTCGGATGTGATTTCCGGTGATTCGATTAGCTTCGGGAAATGATTTGTGACTTAGGAGTGCGATCGGAATTGATTTTGGAGGTCCGGTGTAGAATTAGGCTTGAATTGGCGAAGTTAGTATTTTGGCGAATTCCGGTTGATAGGTGAGATTTTGATCCGAGGGTCGGAATGGAATTCCGAGAGTTGTTGTAGCTCCGTTAGGTGATTTTGGATATGTGTGTAAAATTTCAGGTCATTCGGACGTCGCTTGGTTGGGTTTTTGATCGAAAACGCATTTCGGAAGTTCTTGAAGAACTTAGGCTTGAATCCGATGTGAATTGATGATTTTAGCATTGTTCGATGTGCTTTGATAATTGGAACAAGTTTGAATGATGTTATGGGATATGTTGGTGTTTTTGGTTGAGGTCCCGTGGGGCCTCGGGGTGATTCCGGATGGCTATCGGGGTGAAATTGGAGTTTAGGAATTGCAGGTTATAGCTGGTATCTGATATTTTCGCTTCCGCGGAAATGGACCGTAGAAGCGGTTCCGCAGAAGCGTAATGGTGGTCGCAAAAGCGGTCAAGAGCTGAGTAGGGTAGTTCCGCAGAAGCGGAACCTTTTTCGCAAAAGCGAGTCCGCAGAAGCGGACGGGCGATCGCAGAAGCGATCTTGGTCTATAGATGGAGTTCCGCAAAAGCGGAGAATACGTCGCAGAAGCGGACTTGGGTTTTTAGTGAAAATCCGCAGAAGCGGGAAATGAGCGCAGAAGCGGTATCGCGGAAGCGGGTGTGGGGACCGCAGAAGCTGAAACCCCTGGAGCCAGAAGGGTTTTATATTCATTTTTGTTCCGCGAAGCCTATGTTATTTCCACCATTTTTAAGCGAGCTTGAGAGCTATTGGACGAAATTGAAGGGGGATTTCGACGGGTAATTAATGGAGGTAAGATTTCTGAACCTAAAACATGATTAGTATGTGAAATTAACCTAGAAATTCATGGAATTAAGCCTTAAATTGATGAACTAGGGCTTGGGATTTTGATATTTCAAATTGGGATTTGATAGGTCATTTGAGCTCGGATTTGGGAGTTCTTGGTATGTATGGACTCGCGGCGAGACGAGGAATCCGGTAATGTGAATTTCGTAATTATTCGAGAAGCGGGCCCGGGGCTCGGGTTTTGCTAGTTTCGAGATTCTCGCTAATTTTCGATTATTTTCGATTGGGTATTGTTCCCTTAGCATATTGTGATGTATTCGCTCTGGTTTTGGTTAGATTCGACGCGCGTGGAGGCCGATTGAGGGGCAAAGGCGTCGCGAGCTAGGGATTTCACCGGTCCGAGGTGAGTAATGATTGTAAATGATATCCTGAGGGTTTGAAAACCCGAATTTGCACCCATAGTGCTATATTGAGGTGACTTGCACGCCCGATAGAGAGCGTGGGGTAGAGCACCGTTGGGGGATTGTGACCTGGTCCATCCCGGTTGTTGATGTTACCGCGTATTTCACTATGACTTGTTGTTTTTCACTAGGACTTGGGCTTATTGCCATATTTGGGGCTTATTGCCGACTGTTTGAACTCCCTATGAGCTATCATCACTGTTTCCTCACTATTTGAAATATTATTTGAACTCAGTCCATTGTCATTACACTGTTTCATGAACGCAGCTATATTTTCACTCAACCTCGAGTTTTAACTGATATTTGAACTACTGTTTGAGCTGAGCATTATTGTTTCTTTACTGATGCCCGAGGGGCTTATGATTATTTTTGGACTGATTGAGGCCGAGGGCCATATGTGAGGATATGCTGAGTGATGTGAGGAGGCTTTCAAGCCTCGAGTGTATTGTGAGGAGGCTTTCAGGCCTCATGTTGATATGTACAGGCTTTC